CGAAAACGTGAAAGAGAACATGTTTTCATCATTTTAGAAAATCGAAAATAGAAAACGAGCCGAAAATGAAAAAGAGAACACACCCTTAATTTTCAAAATTGATCGTATAAAATGATAGCAAACTTATATACACACACACACACACACAAATGTTGACAAGTGTATACGATTCTCATGTTGCAATGAAAAAAATATTCTTCTCATACTTCCATCTAGTTCTTTCAAGAAACATGATTTCTCTAGTAACATCACCGCTATGCATTTTTTTTTTTTTTGTTTTATTATCGAAGTACAGAATTCACTAATGAATCAACATAAAATATTTTAATTATTTTGGAAGCAATGATTACAAATATTTTATACACTTTCATCGGCTAGTGGTGTTATTACAAATGTATTGTATTAAAAAAAATAAAATAATAATAATAATAAAAAATAAAATAAAAAAAAGAAAGAAGAAAAACCATATTTTCAACTATGAAGTGCTCACCGCCCAAAAAAAAAAAAAAAAAAAAAAAAAAAAAAAAAAAAAAAAAAAAAAAAAAAGGAAAAATGAAAAAGGAAGTGAACTCAGAAATTAGTAAAGATTAGCTTTCCTTTTATTCTTCATCATTCCCATTCAGACCCCCACGCACTTAAGCCTCTCAAGATGAAGCTGAAGCAGTTAGAAGGTCTTCTTGGGTCTCTTGACCAGTTCGAGAACCCTAAGGTTTTCCTCTCCATGGATATGTGTTTGTGAATGGGGTTTGTTGTTATTTCTTATTATTTCTACTCCCTATTCTTTATCGTCACTAAAGCGAATGATTCTGATGCTGCAACAGATTGAATTGGAACAATATCCAACTGGGCCCCATATTGCATCTCGATTGCTGTACACTGTAGTTTTCTATATTCCATTCGTCTCTTTATGTTCTACTTTTCGGAGATACCATTTTCCTTAATTTTTTATGTTATTATTAAATGTGATTTTCTGATGAGAAATGAAATGAATTTTGTAATTCTTTTTGAGGTTTTAATTATGTGTATTTTAAGCATTCATTTAGGCTGAGAATTCGTTCCGGGATGTTGAAAATAAGGTGGTCGCTGATTTTGGTTGTGGGTGTGGTACATTAGGACTTGCAGCTGCTCTCTTAGGGGCTGAGTGAGTACTTAGTTTCCCTTTTATAAACTGCTGCTTGATTGATCTGTTTATGTTATCCAACTTCGATGCATACCAAAGGTATTTATTCAAGTGCGAATTCTGAGAGTTAACAATGCTTGTTTGGTTTGACCAGCCATGTTATTGGGCTTGACATTGATACAGAATCTCTTGAAATTGCATCCTCAAATGCCGACGATCTTGATGTACGCATTTTTCTTAGACTTGCATGCTTTTTTCTCCGGAAGCTTTGATGTTAAGTTTTTTATCTTTCATAATTGGTTCTCGATGAATTGCACTTGCAGCTAGACATGGACTTCGTACACTGCGATATCAAGAACTTAAAATGGCGAGGTAGCTCTTTTCCTGTTGTCATTCCAAACGCAAAATAAAAATAAAAATATAAAAAAGATTTATATTTCTGCAAATGTGATAAATAAATTAAGAGAAAGATAGTATTAGAAGAATAATCACTCAGTGTTCCCTATAACAAGGACATGCAACATTGTGCTAATTGATAGTATTAGAAGAATAATCACTCAGTGTTCCCTATAACAAGGACATGCAACATTGTACAAATTTTGTATATTGAGAAAATGTGGCTTGTGTATGTCTTTTTATAATTGTATATCTGGATGGAGAGAAGAGCTTAAATGTTGATTAATGCTCTTAACTTCTGCATAGATCGAATTGTTGATACAGTAGTAATGAATCCTCCATTTGGTACAAGGAGGAAAGGTGCCGACATGGATTTCCTTTTAGTGGCTTTGAAGGTATATTCATTAACTGAACTATGGTTTGTTCGTATCCCAGTCTTTAGACTTTAGTTATGTTTGCTTAAAGTGGTTTTAGTTCTCCTCAAATTCTCAATGTATCAGGTGGCTTCTAATGCTGTTTATTCCTTGCACAAGACCACCACAAGAGATGTAAGTTTGTAATAGTTTTGAATCTGAGATTGTTTGTGATGGAAAAGGTTTTATTCGGAAACTCAACTGTTTGGCAAGGCTTAAGGCAAAACTCTATCCAAACAATCATGGGTGGATAAGAGGAAAAACAAGTTGACATATTTATTTCACTGCTTTTTGTGTTACATTCAAACCTTTAGAAACTATATCACAAGTCCATTTAATGCTTGAATTCCAGAAACTTTCTAAATCTTAGTATATTTGTCAGATAATTATGATGTGAATGTTTTCTCTGCCATTTTTATCAACTCAAAATATTTTTAAAAAAAGTAGATCCAGCACCAAAAAATAACGAGGAAATTCATTTTCTAATTCACAGATCTTTTTGGTCCCGTGTTTTCTTCTTTTGAATTCAATTTTTAGATATTTTGCCTATCGTATGTGGTTTTGAGTTTGTAATAAAGTTAGAGATAGTTGGACTCAGCTTCTTAATGCAAGAGGAATCATGTTCAACGGGACCCATATATGCTGAACTACATGCTTTGAAATGCTATATTTATTGGAAGGAATTTTTCCTAAGCTTATAATTATCATGCCATCATATTTGACTTATGTAATTGTAATGTTCTATTTTCTTAAAAAATGTTCAACACTGACTCCCTAAACCCCATACAATAACCACCACCACCTAGGCCTCTGTTCCTAATAATGTAGCTACCTGAATCCTTTTTCACCATTATTTTATTTCTAAATTATATATTTTCTTGAAGGTCCAACGAGATCAAGCATTTTCCTATTACTTTAGATCATGTCGATTTAGGTTTATCTACTCTAATAACTTGTTTGTCCAGGATCACATCGTTTATTAGGCACGGATGACATTACCCAACATGCAAGTCATCATTCCCTTAATTTATTGTTAATTAGCCAATCATCTACTTCTTGGTTTATATATTCGTTTCCTATTTTAGTTCTAGTATGGTCATGGGTCCATCTTAACATCCTTATTTACCCTACGTTCATATTGTTTATTTTTTGTAATTTAACAACCTAATATTCAATTCTATAAATTGTAGTTAGTTTAAGAACATTCTGCAGAACTTACTTTTTAACTTGGTATTTATCTTGTGATTATGTGGAATTCTTATATTAGTTCCTTATTCTGTTCAACCCTCTTTAATCCTAACACAATAAATTTTTTCCAAGTCCTCCTTTATCAATGACAGAAACTAAATACTCAAAACAATTAGTCTTTGGAATATATGTATATTTGTTGTACCTTTACTGAAGCTAAAACTTGTAGTTTTGAAGTGTCCCTCTAAAGATTTAACTTGCAATTTATTAAGCTTTTACTGTCTTCTGTGAAAACTATGTAATACAGAACGAATATTCATATGACGTCTCCATGATTAGATGTATCTTGTAAGCTCATCCATAAATAAAGCAAAAAGAGAAAGGCCTTGAGTACAATCTTAGGGGGGTGTTTGATTCCCTTTTTTTCTAAAATACATTTTTCTCTCTCTTATTTTTGACCACATATTCTTCTTTAAAATAATATTACACACAAATTAAAAAATTTTCCTTCTTTTTAACCATTCATTCTTCATCAATCTATTATTCTAAAATATATTCTTTAAAAAAAATGTGGCTCAAACACACCCTTAATATATAGATTGTCTAGTTTTTCCTCTTAAGTAGGTAAGTGACTTCCTAAATAGATCTCCCTAATATGAACGAATTGGTTCTAATAGACCTTTGAATTTTTCCTTGATATATCTTCAATCTTCAATCAACCCTCATAATCTGAAGAGTATTACTCATTAGCTTCATGTCACTATAGTTTATACCATTTTAATATCTCCTTTCTTATAAATAATACCGTGACTCTCTTACTATATTCATGAGGTACTGTTTTTTCTTTCTAAGATCTCATTGAATATTTTCACCTACTATAGAGTTAACGTGTTGGGTAGATCCTTCTATGCTTCGCTTGAAATTTATTGACAATGCTTGTTTTTCTCATCATCTTCTTCATAACTTCTCTTATTTTTGAGACCCACATCCTATTACAGTAATGTTTCTATTTGCATTAGAGTTTGATAGGACTCCTAGAATTATTGTTATTTTTTATATATTTAATTTTGTATCTGTTGACATGCTAAAAGTGCAGCCCAAATCGAATAGCCCAAAGAATGAAGCCCAATTGGGCAATTCAGGATTAAGGTCCAAATAGGGTTATTAATGAATGCAGCGAAAGCTCAAGAACGCGGTAACACCGTCGCCCCAAACTTGCAAGACTCCCAAGATCTGAGCGAATGAAGTGCCTTCCAGTCGTCCAGAGTCATGACCCCGTTCTCGCCCAAACCTTCGAATCGCCCAAGATCTTAGCAAATATAAGATGTTATGGTTATCCAAAAGTGCAGTTATCGAATCAGTTATTGAGTAATCTTATCACATTCCACGATTCAAGGAGTTCAGTTGAAGAAGGTTGAACGACAAAGAGTAGTGGCAGCAATTAGAGACGACAATTCCACGATAAGTTGGCCACCATGAAGAAAGTGGGCAGTTATAAAGCAATTAAGCAGTTTCTAAGCGGTTGATCACGAAGAAATCATCAAGGGAATATAAAAGAAAGAAAAGACATAGAGGTGCAAAAGACTTCGAATCAAACATTCTCAAACAGAGAATATGTAATTTCAATTTCTTAGTTTAGACTTAAACATTTCTTTTCAGTACTCGTGTGCTTGCGCCCCTTGGAGACATTCTGTTTAGTTCCAATTGTAAAATCATCGCCAATAAAATACCCCTTTTTGAGACTTTGTCTCAAGAGATTTGTTCCTTACATAATCATCTGATCCCTTTTTAATTGTTAGCGACTACCTGCGCGAAACAATTTGGCATGCCTGGTGGGACATTGGTGTTTGGCGTTGAAGATACAAAAGGTGAAACAATATGTCTCAGAAATCCGATAAGGAAGCAGCAAGTCAGGGAGGAGTCCAGTCTGTGATCGAGCGATATGAGGAACAGCATAGCTCTCCACGAACAGATGGACAGAATCAGAGCAATCATAGTCGTTACGAACCAATGACAGAGTTGAGCCCTCGAACCATGCGTGCATTACTCGGAGAACTCACACAAGATGTTGAACAGGTAAATCTACGAAATATTCATAATATGGAAAGATTTACCCAGAATAAGAATGCACATTTTAACAACATGGCCAAACAATTGAATACTTTGAACAAAATAATGAATAAGTTAGTAGGCCAAATTTGTCAGCCAGTGGTGCCTCTTGTAAACCATTTTCAAACTAGGACAATTGTGGGACATAATCCCCCAGTCCTAAGTTTAAATCAAGGGGTAGAACCACCTTTTGATCCCTCTACTTCAAACAAGGGGGTGGTGTAATATCAAATCAGAATAGTGGCATTGGTACATTTAACTTGGGGGGTAAGCTAAATGTAAGAGATAATGTCCTAAATAATGGGCAGAATACCCCACGTGTTAATGACGGAATAAATGTTCAGGCTAATTGTAGCAATGATCCAAATCATGACAACTTTGTTGTCAACCAAGGACCAAACATCAGGCCTCGAGCAAATCAATCGGTCAACCAACCTGTAGGAATTTCATATGACCTCAATGTCATGTTGAGGAATCAGATTATGGAAATCGTACAGGACCAGATGACTTTTGGAGTACGTCCTGTCATTAGGCCGACTTACACAAAATCATAGCCTGATTGGGAAGACCAAGCATATCCATGGCCTAGAGGGTATAAAGTACCAGAATTCTCACTGTTTACCGGTTTAGGAGAGGTGTCTACACTAGAACACATAGGGCGATTCACACTGCAAAGTGGTGACGTAACTGATTACCATAAAATGCGGTTGTTCCCTAATTTATTAACAGGAGTAGCTTTCTCCTGGTTCATCAATTTCTCAGCGAACTCTGTTCAAACATGGCAACAATTGGAGCAATTGTTCCACGCTCAGTTTTATAAGACCGAGTTCGAAGTTATTTTGGCCGATTTGGCGAATCTACGTCAAATGCCAAACGAATGGGCAGAAGGTTTCCTTCAAAGGTTCAAAACAGTAAGAAGTAAATGTTTTGTACTTTTGCCCGAAAAGGAGTTTGTCAAAATCACTCAAGGTTGTCTAAGCTTTGATTTGAAAAAGAAGTTCCAAGACAAGGAATTTC